GAGGACACAAATTACCAATATCAGAAATGAAAGGGGTATCAGTACAGGCCATACAGATGCCAAAATAGACTACTATAAACAAATGTAGAAACATAATTTGACAATTTAGATGAACTGTATCTTCTCTTTGGAAAGTACAAACTACCGCAACTCATCTACTATAAACTAATTTGAAGAGCCCCATAACTATTAAAGGCAACAATTATTTATAATTTATAATTTAAAAACTCCAAAAATAAATTATAGCACCAGAAAGCCAAGTATGTGGAATGGATAAAACACTTTTGAAAAGAATAAAGTGAGAAGAATCAGTCTAGTCAGTTTCAAGACATTATATATCTACTGTAGAGTGTGGGGTGCTGATGTAGGGATGGAAACACAGATCACTGGAATAGTATAAAAAACTCAGAAATATACCCAAACAATATGCTTAACTGAATTCAGACACAAGTGCAAAAGAATTTCAATAGTGGAAAGGCAGCCTTTCCAACAAGTGATGCTGGAGCAAATAGATACCCATGGATAAGACAAAAACAAAAACCTTTAAATTCCATACTTGACTCAAAATTCAACTCACAATGAATTATGGACTGAACTGTAAAATGTAACAAACCTTTCTGGGAAAATCAAAAATCACAGAAGAAAATCATAGGGGAAAATCTTCTGGATCGAGGTCTAGACAGACTTGAAACCACAACTGAGATCAATAAGAGGAAAAATTAATTGCTAGTTCATAAATATTTAAAATTTACCTTTGGGTAAGACCCTGTTAAGAGAGTGAAAAGAGAAGCTATACACTGGGAGAAAATATTTGCAAACCATGTATATCACAGAAGACTAGTATCTAGAATAAAACCGTATAAAGAACTCTCAAAACTCCACAATAAAAAAAAAATTAACTACAAAATGCACAGAAGATCTAAAGGGACATTTCACCAATGAGGATATAAAGATGGCAAATAAACACACGAAAAAAAAAAAACACTCAACATATTAAGCCATTAAGGAAATGCAAATTAAAAGCACAATGGGAAATCCCCACATATCTATCAGAGTGGGTACTTTTTTTTAAAATAAAATTTAACAACACAAAGGAAAGGATGTGGAGAAATTAGGTCACTAATACTTTGGTGCTGAAAAGGTAAAACAGTACAACTGCTCTGCAAAACCTGTTTGGCAGTTCCCTTGAAAACTAAACATGCTATTATTACCATACAACCCACCAGCTGCATTCCTGGGCATGTGTCCCAAAGAAATGAAAACTTCTGTTCACACAAAGACTTGTTCACAAATGTTCATAGCATCTGTATCAGTAATAGTCCTAAAACTGGAAAAAACACAGATATCCTTAAACAGATACGGTTAAACAAACTGTGGTACAACTGAATTCCTAGCCACAAAAAGAGTAAACTATGATTTCAAGCAAAAGTTTGAATGCATCTTCAGAGAATTTTTCTGAGGGACATAGAGGGGGTGGGCAAGCCAAACTCCAAAGTTTATATACTGTGTCATTCCATTTATACATCATTCTTCAGATAATTTAGAAATGGAGAAGAGATTAGAGATTGCCAGGAAGGAAGGACTGGGGTATGTGGGTGGGTAAGTGAAGACTATAAAAGAGCAATACAAGGGATCAATGTGAGGATGGAGCCATTCTGTAACTTGATATTCTCCATGTCTGTATCCTGGTCATGGAATTGTACAATAGTTTTGTGAGATGTTACCATTGGACAAACTTGGTCAAGGTATGTGGGAATCCTCTTTATTACTTCTGCATGGAGATCTACAATTATCTCAAACTAAAAAATGTTTAATAAATCCATAAAATATATTTTGAAGCCAATAATGAAGTTAAATGTGATTCCAAAATCAAAATGTCCAAGATCTTCTCTTAATGACAAGCTTTAAACTTTAACTGTTAAACCTGGAAGAGGATTTGAAGATCCATTCATTATGTAATTATATATTCAACACACAGTTCTTGAGTGTTATTTCAATATGCTTGGTACTGTTCTGTATTCTCATGACAGAACCATGCACAGGGCAGATAAAGTCTGTGATGCCAAGAAATTACACTTAAATTGGGAAAGTAATCAAATCAACAAGGTGATTTTAAATAATAGTAAGAAGAAGAAAGAAAGTAAAATAGGATGATGGTGTGATAGTATTGGATGGGGACAGTTAAGACAGACTACTTTTAGGTGAGTCATCAGATAATGTCTCTCTGGAAACACAAAGGATTGAACCATTTGAAGATCAAGGAAAAGAGTTTTTCCAGGAAAGGCAAAATGTAACATAAAGACCTTAATCAGGAACAACATTCATGCATTTGAGGAATACAAAGATCATTATGCCAAAGGTAAATGAAATTAATAGATGATGCCATCCTAGAAATAGGCAAGGGCTGACTCATGTAGAGTACTATTTCATAGACTAAGTGATGTGAATTTTACTACCAGTGATGATGAAAAGCTTTTCTTTTTTTCTTTTGTGGTGGGTAGTTATGGTAGGAAATGAAATGCTATGCTTTAAATATTTCAAAATATGTAATGGATTGTAGGTGAGTCAAGAGTAGAAGTAAGAAGATCAGCTAAAATATATTGTAGAAGCCCAAGAAAGAGATTATGATGGTTTGGATTATGGTGGGAGAGATTGTAGACATAAAAGGAAGTTGATTAAATATAGGTTTTTGAGAACAGACAGAATTTACAGAAGATTGAGTAGACTGGTTGGGGTTGGGGGAGGGGAGAAAGAGGAATGAAGGCTAATTTCTTGGCTTTTGTTTAGACAACTGTATGATCTAGTTAAAGAAATTAGACACCAAAGATGTAGTTAACTGATACATTTATTCAACAAACATGTATAATGATGTATTGGGCCCATCACATGATAAGTGCTATATTACTGGACAAAAACTGAGTTTAATAAAGGGAAACAGGCTGATAACAACATGGACAATAGAGGTAAATAGGACATACACAGAGGAGGCAATTTTCTGTGCCAGGGAGATTAGGAATAACCTCTTTTATTGAGGAAATGTTTTTAGTGGGTACTTAGGATACACAGAAGTTTCACATATGGAGAGGGGGCAGTTTTGGAAGTTTCTCCAGTGAGAAAAGAAATGCAAAAAGCAAAGATTTGCTAAATATCTAGTGGCTGAGTCAGAATTTGAAATATCTTTTGAATGATAGTCTTGTGATCTTTTAGCATCTTCGTAATTTCTCTTTCCTTCCCTATTTTTTTTAAATTTTTAAACACTTCATTTTTCTCTCCCTTTCTCAAGTCCTTAAGTCAGAAATACTCATTGCTCAGATTATCTATATTTGGATTTATTTTTCAAAGTAATGTATATTCAGCTAGTTCTACACTTTTGTTCCTTCCTCTCCCATATGCATTTCAAATTCAACATGCCCAGGTCCTATTTCTGGACCCAGCAGTGACAAGATTTTCCTCATCCCAAGCCTGAATAAATGAAAAAAGGTAAAAGTGGTAAGCTTTTAAATTTAACTATACATATTCATTCTTTTATTCTTTTACGGCTGGGTTTTTTTATTTGCTTTTATGGTTTTAAAATTACTCTTTTAGTAGTTTTTTTAACAGATTAGAGAAAGAGAAGGAGAGAGAACAAGGGGTGTGTGTTTTAGTATTCTTTCTGGGCCAAATTAGAAATCATGACCTCTATGTCATGTTGAACTTGCCCCTTTACTATAGGTATATCTGAAATTTCATTTGTCCTGGGAATCCAAAGGTCAGGGAAACACTGTTGAGAGTGCAAACAGAATTGCTATCCAAGTAGCTGTTACAATGTTAAAGGAGAGAGAGGTCTCCAGGTGGGCCTCTGGAAGGAGACAGTTGGCTGCTGAAGAAGATTCTCACCTGTTAATATTCATAATGTGGTCCTAGAGTACAAATGGCATTAATACTTGCTCCTGTGAATTCTTCAAAAAAGATGCTTCAACTGATTATTTGTTAAGGACTACAAATACTAGGATCACTACTTTTCCCTAACTTAATAGGAAGCCAAGATAAAGTTAAAGAATTTAAAAAGTAAGTAGATTTCTACTGGAGAAAGGGCCAGGTGCATCTCACTGAAGAAATTAAAGAAATAAGCCCGATGTACAGGTTTTCTATCCTTTATAGAATATACCATGAAATGCCATGATAATCTGCTTGTACAGAGGAAATTAAATGTAACTAATTACGTAAAGAAAAATGGATTCAATGTTGAAGGATATTCTTATCCAACTGGAATGTTTCTATCTGGAAGAATAGATATGAATCAAATGTTCACCTATTTATAGATGTAGTGCTGACCATCAATTCTCTTTGAAAGGAGAATGAAGCTAGCCTCATTCACCAAAATTGCAGCAGTGTGTGAGCAAAGTTGAGATCTATATACATGGTCTGACTCAGGGCTACTTTTATATCCTTTATTTCCTATGATTATCTTAATATTCCCATCTGAAATGTTTGCTACTTCCTAGATAATGCCATTCTCCTATGAGAGCCAGAACATTTAAGTAACAGTTATGTCTCTGTGCATTCACTTTCTTCTTTGTAAAATACTGATGAATGTGGCCACTTCATCTTGTCTTCCTGTGAGGATTAAAAGGTTAATTCTTATATTGCACTTAGAAATAAGCATGACAAGTGATGAGTGCTCAATACATGCTAGATATAATGGTGATGACTGACCATGAAGAAAAACATATTCATACTTTTATAATCCTATTTTTATTTTCTAGTAAGAGCCTCCATTTCTACCATAGTTCTCTACTTGGCAAACTCCTACTCAACTTTTCTTTGCTATAATCTAACAAACCTTGACTGAGCACACCCATATCTCTTAAGGCAAGTCACATCGCAACACTAATGTTTACATCTCCATTAATGTACAAAACATTTACATATTATATATCTGATTGTATAAATAATGGGGGTGAAATAGTACTTACCTCACTGAATTTTCTGAAGATAAAATGGCTTAGATAAGTAAATTCCTTTGTATAGTGTGTTATGAAAGTGTTAATTTTTATTATTATTTCCCTCCCTTAAACCTTGAATTCCTTAGGGGTGAAGATTGGCATTATTATATTCCCAGTAGTTAGCACAACCTTGGCACATAGTAAGGGTTGAAAATTTCTGAATGAAGGATTCAAATGTTTTAATTTCACAAGATTTAGAAATATAAGACAAATGAAAATCACATATTTTAATTCATATAGCAAAAAAAAAAAAAGTTGTGTCAAATAAGGGATTTTGACAAAATCCAAGACATCAAAGTCCTCATATAGGTATAACTTCAGTGTATCTGTATCAGGGGGGAACAAAACATGAATCCTAAATCTCAACAGTATTATCAAAAGTTCTTTTTTCCATTGTGCTGTTTTTCAGCTACTCCAAAAACTTCAATTCATGAGAGCCATGAATATGGAAGTGTAGCATGTAGCTCCTAAGTGGAACCAACTCCTAGAACATAATTAGAATCAGTGAATTTTGTGTGCATATATGTTCTTGAATATCCTTTTAAGCTACCATAAATAAATGCTTCCATGTAGATCAAAGATGCCTGCATAGATTGCTTCATTAATTTATTCTTTCACTCATTCAACAAATATTTACTTATTCTCAATGTTATCTACACACAGTTTCCTTATATACAGCAAAGCGTGACCAGGTATAAAGGCCATTTGAAATTTCACTTTATTTTGGATTAGGCACTCTTTAAATATTCATTATTCTTAATATCATCATATCCCGATCACCTAGCAAACTGACTGGCCCATGACAACTGTTCTGTAAATGGTTACAGAACTGGGCAGAACTCTTTACATAGTAACCAGCAGCTACAGAATTTTTAATGAAAGTGGGATACTGTACCCCAGAGTAGGTCTTATGTCCAACAAGCTTTTTAAAGATAGATACTGACAAGATACACTTTTTTTTTTAAGTACAAATGAGTATGTGTCTATATCCTATGGACTCCTTCCACAGGCCACAATCCCTTACATGCTTCTGTCTGGTCTGTATCCCATTTTATCGGCTTTCCAGTTTATAATTTATTCTCACTCTATTTATCAAAGTTCCCAGTCTTCACCAGAAAGCTATATATGTAGTCAGCCTTTCTAAGATGCCCTGAAGTCCCTGGAAGTGGACTGCTAACCACCTTAACTTGCTCCTAATACAGCAAATTCTTGATGGCCTCTCACTTGCCTTAGAGCAAGAGATCAGGATTAAAAATGGAGTTTGAGTTCTCCAAAAACCAGAAGCTAATCAATACCTCTTTGGGCAATATGTCACCTTAATGCAGAGACACAACATCCAATCAGCTCTAGTCACACTCTGCTGTCTTATAAAGGCTCAACCTGAATTCCTCATGTGTCACTTCCCCAGTAATGGGAAGTGTTACAGAGAGAGGATTCTGCACAGACCACTGACCTCTACCCAGTTGAAAGCCCCATCACTCATGTTGGCCAAGCTGAGTTCTCAGTGCTAAGAAGACAGCATGTCCCTCTTAAAAATGCAAAGACACTAGGCTGGATATGTGAAGCCAGTTGCAGCATCTTGAGTGATCTCAGGGGTTTTATCTGTCTTTAAGGTCATACAGAGAGAGCTTTGTAGATACTCTCTTCATAGGAAGGAGATAAGACTTCTCTTAACATACACCTGATGCTCACCAGAGCTGACCACAACCCAAAACCCAACCCACAAAATCGCAGAAAATGAAATGGCTTTGATCTGAGGTCTCCCCACAATCTCAACTCCAAAAATGCATTTATTCATCCTTACTACACTATTAAGATTTCCTCCCATTTGGGCTTAAAGAAAGTAATTGTTGAAGTGCTACAACATGGATTACCTATCAAATTTATGAGAACAGATTTCATTGGGGTTCTAAAACAATACTATGGCTTTCAAGAAATAGACAAAGCTGCCTGTTTGTGTTATGAAGGGGTAAATTGTCTTCACTTTTATGTTTTGCTTTTATACTTGCTCCTCAATCCTGCACATTTTCAGCATTTGATGTCCTGGAATCCTCTTGTATTTGATTCCTGTTCCCAGGCTTCAGAGGCTTCTTGATCTAGAAACAGTGTTTATCACTGTGTGTCTAATCCCCAGGATAGGAGTTGCATTTGCTCTGGCTCATCCCATCCAGGCAGTTTCTGTCAGCCCCAGTTTGAACTTCCTGGTGCCCTGTGCTCAGTCTCCCTCTGGACTTCTCTCGAGGAATGGGTCATAAACCATGGAAGGTGAGAGATGAAGGGATGGTGAGTTGTGGGACATCCATTCATGCCAACCAAGGGGTGAAACTGCACTAGGAAACCAAATATTTTTACCACAGGAAGTTGTCACATATGTGGCTTCATAGACACCTGCCAACAACTGAGGTATTTGTATAGGCTCATTTTACACAGGAGAAAACAACCTTAAAGGAGCTTCAGTAAGGGGCGCCTGGGTGGCTCAGTTGGTTGGGCAACTGCCTTCAGCTCGGGTCAAGAGCTCAGGGTCCTGGGATCGAGCCCCGCATCAGGATCCCTGCTCGGTGGGAGGCCTGCTTCTCCCTCTCCTACTCCCTTGTTTGTGTTCCCTCTCTCGCAATCTCTCACTCTGTCAGATAAAGAAATAAAATCTTAAAAAAAAAAGCTTAAGTAACTTGCTGTATTTTACACAAATAACAAATAGCTGAGATTATATTCAAATTTAGGCCTTATTTTCACATGCTGATATTAATCTAGCTATTACTGAAGTACAATGCAATATAAATTGAAGAACTCAGTAAATATGTACTTTACAAGAATTTCAAAGTACATCTCTCATAAATAATTAAAACATTTAAATAAATTTTACATTTTATACTTAAGTATGTTTATGTAAGTCTGTATATATGTGTATTGTGTATATACATATATATAGCATATTGATTATATATTTATGTTAATTTTATATCTGTTGTTACATTATAGAAGAGTCAGAACCAGAGCAATTCTTGGAGATTTAGTTCAATCTCTCTTTTTGTAGAAGACAAATGAGTCTCAGAGAAGTAATTTTCTAAGTGTATTCAACTAATTAAGAGTCATAACTGACTTTTAAGCCAGGAATTTGTAACTCAATTTCTCTTTCTAGTATAGCAGGAATATTGTTCATTTATTTGAGTCTTAGGATAATCTTACAAATGGTTCCAGCAAGCTAATAGCAACATTTTATACACAGAAAAATAGGCCAAGATGGGAACAATCCTATCCTTGCCACCAACTTCAGGATCAGGTCGCTCAGTAAGGTCAAGGATAGGACTGAAGCTGGCTCTCTCCTCTCCTTATCCAGTGTCCTTATATGAGAAAAAAATATATATTGCTTTAAATTTTTAGAATGGAAAACAGTATCAAATAGTTAAAACACAGAATGGTGTGCCTTATAAAAATTAAATTCCCTCTATGAGATTAAGAGAGAGAGAGCAAGAGACCCCTGATATCGGGCAACCTGATTTTAAAGATAACATTAGTTTTATTACATTGGATTAACTGATTTGATTTTTAGTTTTTATGAATTGTTTTAAAATTCAAATTTCTGTAAAGTATGAAAGTGAATTCTAACTTACCATATAGCAACCACTCTAATTAAACAGGAGAATTGCGGGTATTCACACCTGTTGATGTATGACCTTTCCAAGCACTTTTGTTAAACAATATATTTGTTATATATTCCCACTAAAATCTAAAGATGTCATTTAAAGAGAGTGACTTACCATGTTATGACTGAACTAGCGATCTCTCTAAAACATAGTAAGTATCTACTCCCAAGGCCCTGAATATATCAGTGAAGATAATTAAGGGATTGATAAATCTTTACTCAAGTCATGGTACAGTTTACTGTGACACTTTCACAGGAGGCAGGATTCTGACCTTAAAATTGAAGCATCCAAGGAGGAAATTTGCTCTGAACAGCAACAGTGTTTCATGAAAAGGGCAAATGTCATTTTATTAGTGCTCAGTTTTAGGAATAAATCGGTGTGTGCGTATAGTATGACTCTAATCAAAGATGACAAGGGTGTGGAAAGGGAAGGAGACCAGAAATGATACACCAATTAGATTTTAGGATTTCTGCTAGGCACCAAATAGATCATTTTGCTTAAAACTCACAGTATTTGTGAGAGGAAAATGTCATTATTTACATTTTGCAGAGGCAGGTAATAAAGGTTAAGTAAATTACAAGCATCTTAGGCCCAGTTTGAGATGAAGGTGAATTCAAGTTCTACCTGACTCCAAATCCCACAAATTACATCTTCTAAAAATCAATCATGTGGATCTCTGAAGCCTCTAAAAAGGTAAGCTTAGGCCTACAAAATGCCATAGTCTCTTTTTAATTTTATTTATTTATTTGAGAGAGAGAATGAGAGAGAGAACATGAGCAGAGGGGTGAGGAAGAAGCAGGCTCCCCGCCGAACAGGGAGTCCGATGTGGGGCTCGAACCCAGGACCCTGAGATCATGACCCGAGCCAAAGGCAGATGCTTAACCAACTGAGCCACCCAGGTGCCCCCAAATGACATAGTCTTTCATTTTCTCTCTGACATAATTTTTAGTGTTTTCTTTCTTTTTGGTTCTTGACTGTTGAAACAGAATTTTAGGAAAGAATGCCTCAGAGTACGGGACACGTTAGTCTTTTGTATAACATAAAAGGCAAGTGATAAACGTAGGACTCAGTGTGTTTATAAGGCTAGTTAGATAAACGGAATTGCAGGGATGTCAGGTAAATATTCTTACTTCCTAAAACCACACACACACACACACACACACACACACACACACACACACACACTTGCGCAGAGCAAACATCCAAAACCATGTTCTTAATTTCTACTAAAATCTATCCTTTCCAGTTAATTAAATCATCACTAGTTATTGTGTATTTGCAAATACCTCTAACAAATGAGTCATAGTAATACCTGTTCAAGCATTAGATTTTTAGTTTTAATGGCTACACATTTGTTTTAGTATCCCAAGAGGATCAATATCCAGGAAACTAAAAGAATAGTCAGCAGAAACAGAATGGATCAAGGAAATGCATGATGCTTACGTGAACCTACAGGAGAGTACATTTTAATAAAAACTATATTGTCTTTATAGCTTATAAAAATTTGTACTTTGCCAATCTAGGTACCAAGATGTCACTATGCTATATGGCTTAAGAAATGAGTGACCCCTTAAGGTCTTAGACTTTTGAACATTTATAGACCATTATGTTGCCCAACTAATTAATAAGCTTGAGATCAGATGAGAGAACAATGAATTTTAGAATGGAAAAGCAAGGGGCACCTGGGTGGCTCAGTTGTTAAATGTCTGCCTTTGGCTCAGGTCATGGTCCCGGGGTCCTGGGATCGAGCCCTGCATCGAGGTCCCTGCTCAGCAGGAAGCCTGCTTCTCCCTCTCCCACTCCCCCTGCTCGTGTTCCCTCTCTCACTATCTCTCTCACTGTCAAATAAATAAATAAATAAATAAATAAATAAATAAATAAATAAAAATGGAAAAGCGAATGGAAAGGGGCCAGCATCTTATTCCTTCTACTTACTGGGTATTTAGGTAAATGCTTATTAGTCCCTTTTGAGCCTCTATTTCCTTTCCTGTAAAATTGGGAACCTGAGTGTCTCTTACGTTGTCTCATTAATCTCTTGGTTAAACCATCTCCCTCAGTTGTTAGACCCAGTCCTTAGCTTTGGCTACCTGCCAGCTGATTGCTCCACTGTTTTTCACTCTTCCCTGGGGCATAAACTGCATCATCCAGTTAAACCTGGACCCCCTTGGAGTGGTAATCTTTTAATGCCAGTTTATGAGTTTTGTTGTGACCTCTGGAGCCATCTTTTTTGGTTGCTTTTCCCCTGTTTTGTGGTAAATTTCTAGCTGGTTTACAAGCTTAGCTTGTGGCTCTTAAAGGTGCTCCATCCTCCTCTTAATTGCTACAATCTAAATTGTTTCGCAGGGCATTCTTGAACTTCCCCCACACTGTTCCAAAAAAAAAAAAAAAAAAAAAGGCAGCTCGCTGTTCTTACAGACTGCAGATTTGGCAAACACTCTGTCTGTGCCCCCTGCTGTAGAGCTAGAATGAGGGCCCCACTGTTCTCTGGGTGATGCCTTCTTCACAAGCAGGCACTGGGCTGGGGCAGTACCCCCCCCCTTTTTTAAGCTTACTTATCTTCGAACTTCTACACTACTAGGTGGGTTGGACAAGGATGACTGTGGCCCCAGTCTTCTAAGCCTGCCACACCTAGGATAAATCTTCGACCCTAAAAAATTGGGGCTGGTGGTGAAAAAGAGCCCTGGAACTCTCATGCTGTTGCCTGGGTTAGAGACTCTGCTGCAATGTGGAGACAGCCGCCTTCCCCTCCAGAGTGTGTTTTCTAGTGCTTGACTGTGATCTGGGGAGAGAGGAGGTCTGTGTTCCTGTCTGCACCCACCCCAAGTGGCATTTTGGTCACACTGAGCTGAGAGATCATGGCTCAAATGCCAGAGACTCTCAATGTTCTCCATGACAGTTAGTAGGTATACCTCAACAAATGGTTACTTTCTGTATGCTCTTACAACAATTCCCAGAAATTTACAAAAAAAGAAATTCATCATTTTCACCAGTTATGGTTGCTTCCCTGGGGAGTGGATTTGTAGGGTTCCTCACACTACCATTTCTGAAGTCATTTCTACCTTATATTTCTAAAATATTCTCCTTTATCACGTATGGAAGACTTATCACTACAGCAGCAAACACCACAAAATATCTTAAATCTTAGTGTTTTGTCAGAGGACCCCTATACATATATTGGAAAAGTATGATTCCAAAAAATGTTTTACCACTTTTCAAAAAAAATTGCTATTCCATACCTAATTATTTGTAAGAATATGAAAGTCTTCTTTGGGTTTGAGTCTATAGCTTTTTATTAGTTTGAATCACTAGAACATGTGGTTTTACTAAAGTGTACAGAAGAAAAGACCCAAATTAAGTGTGTGTGTGTGTGTGTGTGTGTGTGTTGTGAAAGGTGAAATAAAATGGAGTTACTTATGTCAATAAGTTTGAAAATGGAGCTGGGAGGCCATTAAGGAGGTGGGTCTTATGCAAGTCCTCATGGGATGGGACCATGAACTTTTGAACCAGGGCAAATCACACATAAGTCCAAGGACTCTGCACAAACCCCTGCAACTTACTATGGTAACAGACTTCTGATCAGTGACAGCCTTAGCAACCAATTATGTTTAGCAAAGGTGAGTTTTCGGCCACCAGCACCAATCAAAATTCTTTGTAAACAACACATACAAGTATTCTATTCCCTTTTCGTCTTTAGAAACCCCTGGTTTTTGAGATCTTATCACCTGCAACAATATGGATAAACCTTAGAGAGTATTATGCTAAGTGGAATAATTTAGACAGTGAAAGGCAAATACCACATGATTTCACTTACACTTGGAATCCAAAAAAAGGAACAAAGAAACAAAGAAACAAACCAAGAAACAGACTCTTGTGCTCCCTTTGGCAGCACATATACCAAGAAACAGACTCTTAAATACAAAGAACAAGCTGGTGGTTGGCTAGAACAAATGTGGTTAGGGGCATGGGTGAAACAGATAAAGGGGGTTCAGAGGTATAAACTTCCAGTTATGAAATAACTCATAGAGATATAAAGTACAGCACAGGAAATATAGTCAATAATACTGAAATAAGGCTGTATGGTGACAAACAATGACTATACTGAATAATGTATAGAATTGCTGAATCAATATGGTATGTACTTGAAATGAGCATAACATTGTATGTTAATTATACTTCAATTTAAAAAAGGCCATGAGCAATTAAAATATATATTTTATATATGTATATATGTATTTATATGTGTATATATTTATATGATATCTATATTATATAATAATATATGTCAGCCCTCTTGGAACAGAAAAAGGACTTTAGGAAAAAACTAAGAAAATCTTAGTAAAATTTGGGCTTTAGTCAATAAAACCTCAACAAAAGAAACCTGATGGCTTTTGTTTCCTAGTGCTACCCAAATCAGTGCTCCCAAAATTGCCATTCTAAAAGCCCAAATAAACGCTTTTGTTTTATTTCAGTTCTGCCTCTTTTCTCAGCGGACATTTCGTATGTGTCAGCAGGTTTATTTACTGAGACTTCTCACTTCAGGTACTTTTCCCCTGGTTAAATGTACAATCCCAACTCCTGAAACTGCTCCTTAGAAAATCTCTTTGTGCCATAATTTGTAAAAAACTTAGTCTCCTCACTCTTCTTATATCTTTTTGAATGTATGCACAAAATTTTACTAAATGCAATGTTCTTTTTTGTTCTTTGTTGCATTTTGTTTCTTTGTTCTTTTGTTGCATTTTGATTTTACCACAATCATGGGGTCAACTCAAAATAATTTGCTGAACTCTTTAAGCATTGCAGAAATTATTAGTTTTATGAAAAACCACTTAATTTCTACACCATATAATTCTATAGTGTCTGATGATACTCTGTTTTTACATTGTGGAACTCTACTCAGATCATGCTAAATTGGCAATTAATGCTGTGAATTCAGCAAGTTGGGGCAGAGGGGATAGGAGCTGTCAATCCTTTGATTTGCTGTTTTGTACCCTAGCGAGTTGATGACACTAGAAATTAAAATAGAGATGATAGATATAAAGTGATAGATGAATATATAGATATATCCGAAGCAATTAGACAAATATATGCTCATTACAACTCTGAGGAAACTAATATCCCTTCAAAGAGAATACCCATCCTCTTATTTTTTTTTTCTTTTTTTCCCCAAGCCTTAATTTAAAGTTCAGTTAGTTAACAGAGTGTAGTATTAGTTTCCGGTGTAGAAGTGATTCATCACTTACATACCACACCCAGTGCTCATCACGAGTGTCCTCCTTAATACCCATCACCCACTTAACCCATCTCCCCCCAACACCTCCCCTAAAGCAACCCTCGTATATGTTATAAGAGTCTGTTTTCTGGTTTGCCTCTTCTCCCTTCCCCCGCTCCCCACATGTTCTTCTGTGTTGTTTCTGAAATTCCACATATGAGTGAAATCATATAGTATTTGTCTTTCTCTGACTACTGACTTATTTGGCTTAGCATAATACTGTCTAGCTCCATCCGCACTGCAAAGGCAAGATTTCATTCTTTTTTATGGGTAATATTCTAGTGTGTGTGTGTGTGTGTGTGTGTGTGTGTGTGTGTGTGTGTGTGTG